CGGTAATCTCAAAGTATACCGTTCAATGTTATCCCCTGGTGGAATCAGAACTGTATGCCCCGTCGTGTGCGATCTAGAAAATTTCACCGGAATTGCTGCTCTCGGTAGCCGATTCTCCTCTATTGTACCCTGAATCGGCATTACTCTGCTACAATTTTCATTTACATCAATCACAACCTGATCATTTGATTCGTATTCTGTCCCAACATTGCCGCGACTCAAGTCCCTGTTTAACTCGGTGTTTGAATCAACATTCTTGGGAGGTTCACCATCATCAGACGCACGTGTAAGCTCAGTCCGACAAACAGGACAAGTAACATGAGTAGACAACCAAAGGTCGATACAAACACGATGAAAAACATGGTTGCATTTTGGCAGCAGACGAAGGGATTCATCCTCTCCAAACTCGCTCAAACAAATAGCACATTCAAGCGTTCCTTTCCCGATTCTGAGTTCTTTCACAGAAGAGTACAATAAAACAGGAAAAGTCTGAATTACAGAAACATCAAGGCCGCAAGCAGCTGCACACCCACCAGATGCGCTAGGCTGATGGGTACTCGAGAGGGGGACGCTGCTTTCAGTGAAGTGACGAACATAAATATATATAAATCCTAAAATGAAAAAAGCGCACACCAAGATTATCACCAGGATCCCCATGGACGGGTCGAAGTTGTTGTACAAATTGTTCAGTTCCGGCTGTGCATTGGTTCTGTTCTGTGCCGCCACAAGGGCGACCAATAGGTGGAGCCATGAAATTTGGTGGATGATTCTGTGGCAAAGACTGAGCATCTCTTTCTCCTGATTTCAGGTTCGAAAAATTTTTTGTTTTGACTGAGAATTTTTTGTGGGGAAGAGAAAAAACGGGGATAGACAGGATAGAGAAATGGGAAACAGGGGAGGAATATAAGAAGAGGAGATGAACCGGAATTGCCGTGGGCACGAAGTATAAGTGAAAAACCGTCAGTTGTTACGTCACCAGGCATGTACAACTTGTGTTTTAGATTAGCTGTTTTTCTAGTAATTAAAATAATAAATTGCTGTTTAAAAGATGGTAAAAAATTAAAGGCAAAACCATAAGTTAAGCCCCTGAACTAACCCCAGAATCGCTATTAAGCCTTCAAACTTTAATTAATGCATATAAACCCCTAAACTCTGC